AATACCTAGGAATAAACCTAACCCAGGATGTAAGAGATCCATACAATGAAAACTTTAAAACACTACTGCAAGAAACTAAAAGAGACCTACATAAATGGAACAACATTCCATGATCATGGACTGGAAGACTTAACATTGTGAAAATGTCAATACTACCCAAAGCTATCTATAGATAGAAAGAAATCTCAATCAAAATCCCAACAACATTCTTTACTGAAATAGAAAAACTAATCACCAACTTTATATGGAAAGGAAAGAGGCCTCGAATAGCCAAAGGAATATTGAAGAAGACGAATGAAGCTGGAGGCCTCACATTTCTTGATCTAAAAATATACTATTCACCACAGTAATCAAAACAGCTTCATGCTGGTTCAATGACAGACACATAGACCAATGGAATAAAATTGAGAACTCAGAACTAAATCCATCCATCTAAGGGCAGCTGATTTTAGACAAGGGGTCAAAGTCCATTCAATGCAGAAGAAAAAGTCTCTTCAACAAATGGTTCTGGCAAAACCGGATATCCATTTGCAGAAAAATGAAACAGGATGCATACCTCACATTAGACACAAAAACTAACTGAAAATGGATTAAAGACCTAAATTTTAATGTTAAAACCATAAAGTTCCTGGGAGATAACATAGGGACAAAACTATGGCACCCATTTTTTTTTTTCAGAAATAGACTATTAAACACAACTACAAATGCACGAACAACAGAAAAAAAATTAGACAACTGGGACCTCCTAAAAAGTAAATACTTACGCTCATCAAAAGACCTTATCAAAAGAGTAAAAGACAACCAACAGACTGGGAAAAAAATCTTTGGGAAAAACATATCTGATAAGGGTCTAATCTCTAAAATATATAGACAACTTCAACAACTCAACAAAAAACAGATAAATAATCCAATCAAAAAATGGGCAAAGGACATGACAGACATCACCAAAGAGCACAATCGGTCGGCCAAAAACACATGAAAAGATGCTCGCAAACATTAGCCATTCAAAACCCAAAAACTCGTTGCTGTCGAGTTGATTCCAATTCATAGTGACCCTATAGGACAGAGTAGAACTGTCCTATAGGGTGTCCAAGGAGTGGCTGGTGAATTCAAACTTCTGACCTTTTGGTTAGCAGCCGTAGCTCTTAACCACTGCACCACCAGGGCTCCCAATAGCCATTAGAGAGATGCAAATCAAAACCCTGCAAAACTGGCACTGATCAAAAAAACAGAAAACAACAAATGCTGGCAAGGTTGTGGGGAGATTGGAACTCTTAGACACTGCTGGTGGGATTATAAAATGGTACAACCATGACGGAAAATGGTATTGCACTTCCTCAATAAGCTAGAAATAGAAATACCTTATGATCCAGCTATGCCATTCCTAGGTATATATACTAGAGATCTAATAGCAGTGACACAAACAGACATATGCACACCTATGTTCATTATTCACAATAGAAAAAGATGGAAACAAGTGCCTATCAATGGATGAACAGATAAACACATTGTGGTACATACATACAATGGAATACTATGCAGCTATAAAGAATAATGATGAGTTCTGGAAACATCTTATAACATGAATTAATCTGGAGGACATTATGCCAAGTGAAATAAGTCAATAACAAGGATAAATATTGTATGGTCTTACATTTGTAAAAAGACACAGAAAACCACATTCTTTAATGGTTACCAGGAATGGGAGAGGGAGAAGAGGGAAGCACTTTCTATATAGTAGACACATGTTATTTTGGTGAAAGGAGAGGCAATACCTAACATGGGTGAAATCTGCACTATCTGACCAAGGTAAATGATGACACTAAGAAGTACACAAGAATAAGGGACAATTTTGGTAAATGTTATAACATACACAATTTTGCAACAACAGTAATAACAACCAAAAAATATGCATGTGGTTACATAGGAAGATACGTAAGCATATACGTGTATAAGAAGGCACATGTGAGTATACAGGTGTGCATGCATAGGTGTAGCTGTAGGCATATGTATATATGTTTGTGTGTGCTGCATATATGTTCATATATATAATAAAGCACATAGGGGGCACACACATAAGTCTAAGATACTTCTGAGACATAAGCAAACACTTGACAGGATTTAGTGGGTTTGAAGGCTTAGGACCATAGTCTCATGGGACAACTGAGTCAATTGTCATAATATAGTTCATAAAAAAAATGTTCTACATCCTAGTTTAGTCAGTAGCGTCTGGAGTCTTAAAAGCTTGCAAGCAGCCATCTAAGATATAACTATTGGTCTGTACTAGTCTGGAACAAAAGAAAAAGAAGGAACCCAAAGACTGAAAGAAGAAACTAGTCTACAAGACTAACAGCCCACATGAACCACAGCCTCATCTATTCTGAGACTAGAAGAACTAGATGGTGCCCAGCTACCACTACTGACTGTTCTGACCAGGGGCACAACAGACGGTCCCAGATAGAAGGCAGAAAAATGTAGAACAAAACTCAAATTCCTAAAAAAGGCCAGACTTACTGGGTTGGTAGAGACAAGAGGAACCCCCAAGACTATTGCCTGGAGATACGCTTTAAACTTGGAACTGAAGCCACTCCCGGAAGTCACCTTTCATTCAAATAACAGATTGGCTCATAAAATAAACAATATGACCCGGGAGTACAATGTTCCTTTAAATAATCATCTATATGAGACCAAACAGTCAACATTTACCCTAAAGCAAAGATGAGAAGTTGGGGGGGGTGGGGGCAGGAAAACTTAGATTAATGGAAATAGGACAACCAGAATGGAAATAATGAGAATGCTGACACATTGTGAAAAATGTAACCAATGTCACTGAACAATATGTATAGAAATTGTTAAATGGGAACCTAATCTGCTGTGTAAACTTTCATCAAAAACACAATAAAATATTGTTTTAAAAATGTATTATAAATCTACAATAATCAAAACAGTGTGGTACTAGTATAACAATAGACATACAGACTAAAGGAACAGAATTGAGAATCCAGAAATAAACATCTATGGTCAATTGATGTTCGACAAGTTGCCACATCCATTCAATGGAGAAAGAATAGTCTTCTCAATAAATGGTGCTGGGACAACTGAATCTCCACATGCCAAAGAATGAAGCTGGATCTGTATCTCATACCATATATGAAAATTAACTCAAAATGGATGAAAGATCTAACTATAGGAACTAAAACCATAAACCCCTTAGAAGAAAACAGGGTAATGCTTTGGGACCTAGTTTTCACCAATGGATTCTTAGATATGACACCAAAAGCATGAGCAACAAAAACAAAATAGATAAAACAGACTTCATCAAAATTAAGAGATTTTGTGCATCAAAGGATTTTCCTAAGAAAGTGAAGAGGCAACCTACAGAATGGGAGAAAATATTTGGTAGCCATATATCTGATATAAGGGTTTAATATCTAGACTATATAAGGATTTATGCAATTCAACAAAAAGACAAAGAACCCAATTTAAAAAATGGGCAAAGAACTTAAATAGACATTTCTACAAAGAAGACATACAAATGACCAACAAGCACATGAAAGTATGCTCTACTTCATTAGTGTCTTCATCTAGTGCTGCTATAACAAAAATACCACAAGTGGAGGGCTTTAACAAACAGAAATTTATTCTCTCACAGTTTAGGAGGCGAGAAGTCCAAATTCAGGGCACCAGCTCCAGGGGAAGGCTTTCTCTCTCTGTCAGCTCTAGGGGGGAAGGTCCTTGTCATCAATCTGCTCCTGGTCTAGGAGCTTCTCAGCGCAGGGACCCCAAGACCAAATGACTTGCTCCATTCCTGGCTCTTCTGCTTGGTGGTAATGAAGTCCCTCTCCTCTCTGCTGGCTTCTTTTATATCTCAAAAGAGATTGACTCAAGATACAACCTAATCCTATAGATTATGTCCTGCCTCATTAACATAACTGTCTCTAAATCCTGCCTCATTAACATCATAGAGGTTAGGATTTACAACACACAGGAAAATTACATCAGATCACAAAATAGAGGACAACCACAAAATACTGGTAATCATGGCCTAGTCAAGTTGACATATATTTTCAGGGGACACAACTCAATGCATAACAATTAGTCATTATGGAGATATAAATCAAAACCACAATGAGATACCACTTCACACCCACTAGGATAGTTATTATCAGAAAAACAGAAAATAACAAGTGTTGTTGAGGATGTAGAGAAATCAGAACACTCTTCCACTGCTGGTGGGTTTTAAAATGGTGCAGTCACCGTGGAAGACATTTTAGGAGCTCTCAAAAAGTTAAACATAGAATTACCACATGGCCCAGCAATTCCACTCATAGGTATATACCCAAAATAATTGAAAGCAGGTACTCCAATAGATACTTGTTCACCAATGTTCATTACAGCATTATTACAATAGCCAAAAGATGGAAACAACCCAAGTGCCTACCAACAGATGAATGGATAAACAAAATGTGCTACACACATACAATGGATTATTAGTCACTCATAAAGAGAAACAAAGTGCTGATACATGCTACAACATGGATGAACCTTGAAAACATTATACTAAGTGAAGTAAGTCAACCATGAAAAAATAAACACTGTATGATTCCATTTATATGAAATATCTAGAAGAGGAAATGCACAGAGATGAAAGTTTATTAGTGGTTACCAGGGGACAGTGGGAGAGGGGAATGGGAAGTTATTGCCTAAGGGGTACTGAGTTTCTGTTTGGGGTGATAAAATTTTTTTTGGAAATTGATAGTGGTGACGGGCACACAACATGGCGTCATTAATGGCACTGAACTGTACACTTAAGACTGGCTGAAATAGCAAACTTTACAATATATATTTACCATAATAAAAAAAAAAACTAGGGGGAAGGGGAGAAGAATCTTTGACCATCTATGTGGAATGAACTTTGTTTTAAGGATACATGAATATCTATAGACAGAGAAACTATTAGGAAATTACTGATTGCCTCTCATATTTGGTATTTCACTTACCAATTGCTTTTCCACTTTCAACTTATATTGTTGAGCTTCAAATTTCCTCTGCAGATACTCAGGAGACCTTATAGAATAAGAATGTTCAGCTTGAATAGATATTTTAACTAGTCTTAAATTTTGATTTGACAAATGGATTTTCAGCTTAGTAATGGGATTCACAATTCACCTATGGCTTTAAATTCCAAGCTCAAGAAAGAGTTTAAAGTTACAGAATGTTTACATTGGAAAAGAAAATCTTTAGAATCAAGAGGAAAGCAGTTAAAGAGAGAGTAACAATTAGGGATACAGAATGGGATGAAATAGGAAAATATTCCGATCCAGCGATTTTTCTTCAGGGCAGGAATCAGTCTTTCCATGGTCTACAATATGTTGGAAAACGTAACCCACACCCCGGATGTTCTTATGCTTTGTCTAGCTCTCCCTGCAGCCACGCCCTGCCTTATTTAACTCAAGGTCGCTCATCTGTGGCCTGCACACTAGGCTCCTTGGAGCAGGAAGGTGTCCACTCCTTTCCTTTACTTCTCACGCTGGCATACCAATGCTTAATGAATCCATGAGGGATGCTTTAGCTGTCTCTCTAAGTGATTACGGTATTTTGTCAGTACAATTCTGGTCAAACCATTTGCAGGTTTATACCTACATTCTATATATCTATCTTTTTTTTGCAGAATTTCCTGCAAAGAATTTCTGTAATTACTGATTACTAAATAAAAACTCCCACCCTTCAGATCACAGTAGAAACTACATGATGAAGTGTTTTGGAATATCAATAACTTCCAGGGCTCCACAGGCAGAACCTCCATTTCAGAAATCTCTCCTTTAGGATCATGATGAGCAGTCCCAGTTTAGAAACAGGCAGCTGTAAAGTGAATTGTACAACTGCAATTAATAAGTCAGTTGTTTAGAAATATGTCAAAATGGCAAGCTAGTTAAGGTCTCTGAGTTTTACTTTCTCATCTGTAAAATGGGCACAATTATCATAATGTCTCTGGGATTATATGAGGACTAGAAGAGAATAGGTCAGTGAAGATGTCTGGCTAGTGTCTGACATAGATAGTGCTTGAGTCAGATGAGGGCTTAGTGCAGAACTACTCTCAGAATGTAACCGGCACATGTAACAATATCTCTATGAAAAAACTATTCAGAGTCATCCAGGGGCTGTCCAAAAGATACCCACGCCACACTACATACCTGTAAGATTTCTCTTCCTCCACACAGAGATATCAAGACTTGATTCCCAAGGCCTGGAATCAGGGCTCCAGCAGAGAAAAAGTGGAGTTGGGAGTGGGGAGCGAGGGTAATGATAGAACAATGGGGAGAGGTCGTCAGAGGTAGGGGAGCATCGCGAAATGCAGCAGGATGTGCAGACTCTGATGGGTAGCAGCACACAGGGAAGAGAAGGAGCTTTCCAACATTTTATGCGAAGGGTTGGAAGATAAAGGCAGATATAATCAAAATAACTAACAGTTTGACAACTATCATATCTAGACAAAGAATGGAAGATGCACTTCCGGTGGCTGAGAAAACGGAAAGGGCATTTTGTTTGTATGTAAAACACATGTCGCTTGTTAACTGAGGCCTATGTGGATGTTATGATTTGAACTAATGGAACACGTAATTTTTGATGATCATGGGGGAATTCAACATGTGTTATGAAGGTGGACAAAACCATAAAGTAGAACCCAATATCTTTAAAAATAAAACCTCTGCTTTTCCCATACCCATTTCTGAGGAATTCATTCTTGCATCACTCTTGCTTATCTAATTTTCACTGGCTATCTGATGATTCACCCTTATATAGTATTTTGTATTTTTTATGATCCACCCAAAATGTCAACAATAAATAGCCACAGTCACCAAACGTTAGCAAATTTCCAACCTTGGAAGAAAAAATTGTGATGGCAAGAACATTTTTACAAAATTATTCTCAGCCTTACGTCTTCAGGCCTGTAGGTGGGTGTCAATTATTTAGACTCAGGAACACTTGACAGTGTGGAAAAAACAACTGAGAATTTGTAGATCTGCAGAAATTTGTTATGGAGTAAACTTTTTGAAAATCTACCATAGGAACAGTTTATATTATTTTCTTTCTAATACATCTATGTTCTGAAAATTCCAAGAATACAAATGCTGAGTAAAATATTACATTTAACTTTTCAAAATGTCTCCAATGATAGTTTTATTATAATAATTAGATTATTAAAAAATGAAACATATACAGCTATTTTCATCACTTCCAGATAGTGTAATTTACTAGAAGGAAGAAAAAATATTAAAAATTCAAGAGTAGGAGTCTGTGCCCACAGTTAAATGGCTACACGAATAAGAAGACAAGTTAAAAATTAGACTTTGAGATGAAAAAGGGTCAAGGAAGCTGTGAATTAAGTGTTTAAAATGCACAGTATAGAAGTTATTCCTAGACTATTTGTTTTAGGAGAATTTGGAAGGATTTCAGAATAAAGAATGTGGACATATAAAGATATTTTCAGAGTACCAAAGTTTAAGTTAGACTGTGACATTACCCTTGGCCTGGTGATGGACTGCAGCTTTTTTTCTCGGTTATAATTCCCAATGCTGGTGTCTTTTTGAGGAACGTAGTGATGACTTGGTTCATGGGCGGTCTTCCTCAACAAGTCAAGTCGAGCATAATAATAATCATAATGTTCATACACTACAGCAAGCTTAAGCCTTTCTACCATTTTCATCTGAGGAAGGTTTAAAAATATATAATAATTGACAGTTTCTTAACAACCATAGCTAAGACAAAGCATTGAAGGTATATTTTTGTTGTTTTTACTCTAGACTTGTTTTCAGAGCAAAATAATCTTAGAGCCCCCAAATCCTAGAACCAAAAAAGACCTTACACGTCTAAGTACTGTAACACAGTCATCTTAAGTCCTGTAATTCAGTCAGCTAAGTACTGTGATACAGTCGTCTAAGTACTGTAACACAGTCATCTAAGTACTGTAACACTGTTGTTTAAGTACTGTAATACAGTCATTTAAGTGCTGTAGTACAGTAGTTTAAGTAATACAGTGGTTTAAGTACTGTAATACATTAGTTTATTTGTTAAGGTATGGATGTGAATCACCCATAATTCAAGGCTAGTATGTGAAAAATATAACTATTGAGTATGCCTAGCCAACCCAAGATCTGAAACTAAACTCCAAATCATTGTTTTTTTATTTTTCATAAAGCTATTTATACCTCATTGTACTTTATGGGAGAATAAATGCTGCTGTGCAATTCACATTTAGTCAATTTATCAGGAACTAAAAATGTCACAAATCCTCAAATTGTGACATTTTTAGTTCCTGATAAATTGACTAAATGCAAAATGGCATCATGACTTGAAGAGAAGAAGACGCTGAGTTATTCAGATTCATTCTTCCAGAGAAAACACAGGGAAGGTCATTTAACAGCTGTGACAGGCATATTACCATCTCAATCTACAGTGGCTACACCTTACCACCCTCCCCAAACAGAAGAGGAGGAGAACCAGAGACAAAATACGTCAGCAGTTAGAGACCAAAGTTTATTAGTGGATACCAGGGTTGAGAAGGAGGGGGAAAGGCGAAATTTTAGTTTAGGAGGCAATGAGTTTCCATTAATGATGGTGGAATAATTCGGAAATGGATACTGGTAATGGCTGCACAACATGATGAATGCAATTAATGTCACCAAATTGTACCTGTAAAAAATGTTCCGATATGAACAGGCACTTCACCAAAGAAGACATTCAGGTGGCTAACAGATATATGAGGAAATGCTCACGCTCATTAGCCATTGGGGAAATGCAAATCAAAACTACAATGAGATACCATTTCATCCCAACAAGGCTTAATCCAAAAAACACAAAATAATAAATGTTGGAGAGGATGTGGAGAGACTGAAACACTTATACACTGCTGGTGGGAATGCAAAATGGTATAACCACTTTGGAAGTCGATTTGGCACTTCCTTAAAAAGCTAGAAATAGAAGTACCATACGATCCAGCAATCCCACTCCTTGGAATATATCCTAGAGAAATAAGAGCCATCACACAAATAGATATATACACACCCATGTTCATTGCAGCAATGTTCACAATAGGAAAAATGTGGAAACAACCTAAGTGCCCAATAACGGATGAATGGATAAACAAATTATGGTATATTCACACAATGGAATACTAGGCCATGATAAAGAACAACAATGAATCCGTGAAACATCTCATAACATGGCTGAATCTAGAAGGCATTATGCTGAGTGAAATTAGTCACAAAAAGACAAATATTATATAAGACTACCATTATAAGAATTCAAGAAAAGATTTAAACACAGAAAAAAACATTCTTTGATGGTTACGAGGGGAGGGAGGGAGACAGAGGGGAATTCACTAACTAGATAGTAGACAAGAATTATCTTAGGTGAAGGAAAGGACAACACACAATACAGCGGATGTCAGCACCACCGGACTAAACCAAAAGCTAAGAAGTTTCCTGAACACAGTCAAACACTTCGAGGGACAGTATAGCAGGGGCGGGGGTCTGGGGACCATGGTTTCAGGGGATATCTAGGTCAACTGGCAAAACAAAGCATATTAAGAAAATGTTCTGCATCCCACTTTGGTGAGTGGCATCTGAGGTCTTAAAAGCTTGCTAGCAGCCATCTAAGATGCATCAATTGGTCCCAACCCACCTGGAACAAAGAAGAATGAAGAACACCAAAGACACAAGGAAAATATTAGCCCAAGAGACAGAAAGGGCTGCATAAATCAGAGACTCCATCAGCCTGAGACCAGAAGAACTAGATGGTGCCCGGCTACCACCAATGACCGCCCTAACAGGGAACACGACTGAGAGTGCCTGATGGAGCAGGATGATGCAGAACTCAAATTCTAGTAAAAAGACCAGACTTACTGGTCTGACTGAAACTAGAGGAACCCCAGAAAGACATGGTCCCTGGACTCTGTGTTAACCCAGAACTAAAACCATTCCTGAAGTCAACTCTTCAGACAAAGAATAGACTTGACTGTAAGACATAAAATGATACTCATGAAGAGTGTGCTTCTTAGCTAAAGTAGATACATGAGTCTAAAGGGGTAGCTCCTGTCCAGAGGCAAGATGAGCAGGCAGAGAGGGTTAGGAGCTGGTTGAATGGACACGGGAAATTCAGGGTGGAAAGGAGGAATGTTTGGTCACATTATAGGGATAGCAACTAGGGTCACATAACAATATGTGTACAAATTATTGTATGAGAAACTGACCAGAGCTGTAAACTTTCACCTAAAGCACAATAAGAAAAAATTGTTTATAAGTTACCAAAGTTGATGCAGCTAGTAAGTAACAGGGTTGCAATTTTAATCCACTTCAGCTACATTCAGAGCCTTTCTTAAATACGCTGCTTTAGTGCCTAGCATCTCAACAAATACTAATTTATCTATCAGAAAAAAAAAAGTGTTCTGGAAAATGTTTTGGTTTTTACACAGTATTTTTACCACAATTAAAACAATAAAAAAAAAAAAAAAAACAGTACATCAACAGAGTTGGGTAGTGGCCGCTGAGCTAGAAGACAAGAATTAGACCAAATTAAGTTATGAAAACCAGTCAAGCTCTTGTTGTTCTTGCTAAATAGCAAAGACAGCACAATTTAATATTAACTGTGACAACAGACTACTTAACGATCGATCATAAAAGAGAAAATGGTCAAACTACTTGAAAGACGTAGGAACTAGTACTTGGGAATATGAATAGCCAAACAAATCGTTATAAATGAAATTTATTCACAAAGAAGTGACAGGCTATCTTCTTTGTTCACATAATGAATATTCATTCACATAGTCTTTTTTAACATAATATTCTTTGTTCACATAATGCTGTGTGGTTTATGTTAGATCGAACCATATGAAATTGTAGATATTCAATATTTAACTTACTAAAAATGGTACTTTCATACAATTCTATTTAAATATTAAAGTAAATGTACAAAATTTGGTTTATTAGTCTAAACATGAATTCTGTATCTGTTTTTAAAATCTTTTAAAGTGTGAAGTCGTTTTCTTAGTTTTACAATCTTACCTTTATACAACCCAAAAAGAAGTGGTCACTAATTACTTGTTGAAATATGGTTTGAAATACAGAAGAGTATTGGAAGGAAATAAACAGCTTCTTTGGAAGTTCCCTAAAATCTCAAATGGTAATGGGAACATCAGAGGGGTTCCTGTGGAAACCCATTTATTTCATTGCATTAGCAAAAGTTTTTCAAAGGATTAGGAAAATATCAGTTTGCTCGACAGTTCTCCTAACTTAATCTACTCTCTAATCTTTTAGATGTTTTTTCTCCCCTGCAGGTCTGCTACAGAGTATTCTGAATTACAACATATTTTTCTTATTTCTTTCAAAAACTTAAATCTCATTGTAGCAAACAAAGGGCAATAATTTAACCAATAGTTTCTAAAACTATACATCAACAAATTTTCTAAAATGTCTACATATCAAGTAAACACTTAGTAAACGCACTTCCAAATGGTTCTCTATTTATACCATGAGCCTTCTTGAAAAATACAATTCTTCAATTAAAAGACAACGGACATTTTATCATTTATATACTAGAAGTATTTCATTTGCATGAACTAAAAGATTCAACATCCTGCTGGAGTGGATTAAAATATCTAAGCATAAAGAATCCCTAGGAAAAGATCAATCACTAGATAACGAAACTTCTGACTCACACGTAACACATGAGAACTAAGGGTGTAAGTGTAGTGTCTTGGCTGCTGGCCACTCACTTGTATACAGAGAAAATCCTTATTTATTTAAAGAAACTAGAAGACTTTCAAAAGAGTCCTGGTGGTACAACTATTAAGTCCTCAGCTGCTAAACTAAAGATTGGTGGTTCAAACCTGCCCAGCAGCTCCATGGGAGACAGAGCTGGTGATCTGCTCCCATAAAGATTACAGCCTAGAAAACCCTATGGGGCAGGTCCACTCTGTAACATGAGGTCACTATGAGCCAGAATCCACTTTACGGCACCCAACAACAACAACAAAAGAAGACTTATAGTTATAAAAAGGAAAAATAAATAAATAAAACTAATGTAGAGAATACTTGTAAGGGAACAGACAGTAATGCTTTTTAAAAATGTAACAACTAGAAGTTGCCCAATAAAGTGCCACTTCAATGCCATTAATAAATGATGTTTTATAAACACAAAACCAGTGGACCACAAATTAATGAACATGTACAGGTGAGTCTGACAGAATATAAACCAAAAAAACAAACCAGCTGCCATATGGTGACCCCATGTGTGTCAGAGTGGAACTGTGCTCCACAGGGTTTTCAATGGCTGCTGTTCGGAAGCAGATCACCAGGTCTTTCTTCCCAGGTGCCTCTGGGTGGACTCGAACCTCCAACCTTTTGGTTAGCAGGGAGCACGTTAACTATTTGCACCACCCAGGGAAACGTGCTAAAGACCCGGGGTGGGGGGTTTAGACAACTTACAGATGGCGGCTTCTGGACTCCAGCTGGTGGTCTCCATTCATTTCTACGTAATGTGTCCTTCCTTTTCATTGGCACTGATGTCCTTGGTCTTGGTGGGCACTTTCCTTGGAGTCTTACTTTCTGTACTTTTGAATCTTATTTAACCAAAATAAAACAACTTCGATTTTTAAAAACTCCCACACCTTTAATACCAGTGCTGGTGAGAGTATGAACACATTAAGTTTACTCTAGCCATAGACATTTATACCCAGGAAGAGAAGTGCTGATGGAAAATTACCATGCATTTTCTTGACTAGAGAAAATCATTTTTCCCAGGGTTCCTTTATATATTTCTAGAAATACATAATACTACTTTAAAAAAATTTTAGGAATTAATCTTAACATTTACAGAAAAGATATGCGTAGAATAATGGCACAGTAATTAAATGCAGTCATCAGAGCTCAGGTTAACAGGCCACACCATTCATGTCACATTGTTGTTTTTATGAGTAGGAGTTTAAATGTGTTTGTCTTTGCCTTCATCAGAATGTCTTCCTGTTTTCCTATATTAGGAATGTAGACATTGTTCTGTCTCTCATCCTCTACTTACCCACTTTCTAAACATTCTCCATCTACACTGATAGATAACAATGCCAGATCAAATTAAACATGAGAAAGACACTCATTCATTTTCCTTCTGTAACATTCTTCAATTTTAGTTTCTCTATCACAGGAAGAGAACATGTCCCTATCACTGATTTCTTGCATCAAATTTCTACTCCTCCTGATCCTTTAAGTCCTTTATCGCCCAGTCCTGCTGCCCTTACTTTCACAGCATCTTACTGAATTAGTAATTTTCTCTTTCTTCCAGCAGCTATCACCTAGCCTATTCTTCTTAATATCTCTTTCTCTCTCCTTTCTTTCTCCTACACACACACACAAACACACTTGCAGCACTTCATCAGTTGATTCCTGACACCACCAGTAAAAGTTTTTTCTCTACTTATCATTACCAAAAAGTATTACCTGCTTTTTTGAGAGTCACATGGCATTGGTTCTCACACTTGGATTATATCCAAGATCCTGACCTTAGCTCCAATGGGTTACCCAACAGGCCTTTGCAAGAGAATTCTCAACCACCAGTCATCCTCTCTATTTCACAAAAACAAGCCCCTTCTCATCATCCCAAGACTGTCTGTGAACCTTCTCCCACTCTCAATCCTTTCCCTATACAAAAGCTAAGTTTGGATTCTACCTCTTCAAGCATCTCTTTTACTAGCAAGTCTACTGCTTCATGAAGCTTTCCTGACTAAGGAAAGAGAGGAGATGACTCTTCTAGGTCATGCATGAGCTATGAGCTAGATATGTTGTTGTTGCTGTTGTTAGGTTCTGTTGAGTCAACTCTGACTCATAGCAACCCTATGTACAACAGAACAAAACATCGCTTGGTCCTGTGCCATCCTAATGATCGTTATGCTTGAGCCCATTGTTGTAGCCACTGTGTCAAACTATCTCATCAAGAGATGAGCTAGATATACAACTTCTCAAATTTGTCCATTAGTTACCATTTGACAAGATAATTTTTCTTCTACTTAGACTGCTCATATTTTTTTAAATGTCCCTGTTCAATATATTTGGTAGAATTTCCCCACTAATGCCATCAGCCATAATTCACTGCGTGAGACATGTGTAATAAGTGCTTTTTGGTTGCATAGTTGAATTATTCTTACCCTGGACCACCTTCCCAGGAGGTCGTGAAGATGAAGATCTTGCTCTGTGTATGAGTGCGTGACTGAATTCTTCCTGTATGACCTAAAATGGAAATTATGTGTCACTGATAACCAAAATCTCTGAAAATCTAAACAGAGTCACCTCAGAACTCACCTCAGGATCCAAGTATTTGGCAATGAGATTCTCTAAAAAGGGTCTTTTCAAAATGGAATTAACAGATGGTCGATCTTGAGGAGATACTTTAAATAGCTGACGTATCAAAGACTGTAGCTCACGAGAAAAACTTGGAGATACTGGGGCAAAATGTGCTTGACAAATCTTCAGAACCAGCTGGTATAAGTTGTTACCCTCAACCTGAAAGGACAAGGAACAATGATACTAAATCAGAGAAAAGTTATACTAGTATTCAGAGTAATAAATATATCAAGAAGCAAAACAATGTCTTTAAGCCTCCATTAGAAGCACCTATAGTCCATGCTAAATTGTTTTTATCAACTAATATCTCATTAGTAAATATTACAGGCAGTTATTCAACAAGGTGCCATGTTATGTAGAACAAGAATCTTTTCACTTTTAATTTTTTATTGTCAAAACAATAGTTATTCACTATAAAAAACTGGAAGATATAAGAAGTTACAAACAGGAAAAATATAATTTCACCACTCAGGTAAATTTCCTCCAAGTAGTTTTTAAAATAATGTTTCTTTTATAGAGTTGTGGGGGCACTTGACTTTGGATCATATGTTAGATGATATTATGAAATTATTGTTAAATTTCTTAGCTATAATAATGATACTGTTGCTATGTATGAAAATGCTCATTTCCATAGGAGATATATATGGAAATAAAAAAGAATAAAGTGTCAAAAAAAGAAGAATCTATGTAGAACATTAAAATGGACTGCCTAATAAAAAGTCTAAAGAAGCTAAAATATGAAGAGAAATCCTCTAAACTCAATTATTTCCACCAACAATAGCAGTTACATGATCAATGATCCAAACCTATACTCAGTTCTAAAATGTTGTGAATTTCTAAAATCTTATTAAGAAACATTTATGTAAAATGCCCATTTGAAGAAAACGGTCCTGACCTACTATGCAAAACAAATAAATGAAAATAATCATGATGCAAATCTTACCAGTTTGTTGTGAAGGTTAGAAATACCATATGTCTCTGACATATTCCTGGGAATCTAGAAGGCCCTGTGCATTTTCAGGACTGTGTGCATGCCCAAAAGAGCCCTGAGAAGGTCCAAAGCTCTTATCTCACCTCTGGCTGACCTTGAGGTTCTGTGCAAATAGGCTAAGATGGAGTTGTAACCTGCCTGCCTGAGCATTGAATGTATGTCACAACATACAAACAGAGCCGCTCAACAAAAGCTGGGAGACCTTTTGGTTGCAGGCATTAAAAAATCTCAGTCTAATCATTCACTGACCCCTAAGCTTATTGAGCAGAAATTTAAGTGGCCACATGTGACAAAACACACAGACTTGTTAGGGCTTGCATTGTGTGTGTCAACTTGGCTAGGCTATGATTTCCAGTATTGTGTGGTAGTCCTCCATTCTGTGATCTAATGTAATTTTCCTATGTGTTGTAAATCCTAACTTCTATGATGTTAATGATGCAGGATTAGAGGCAGTTATGTTAATGAAGCAGGACTCAATCTACAGAATTAGGTTGTATCTTGAGTCAATCTCTTTTGAGATATAAAAGAGACAAGCAAGCAGAGAGGAGGGGGGACCTCATACCACCAAGAAAGAAGAGCCAGGAGTGGAGTGCATCCTTTGACGCAGGGTCCCTGCACCTAGAAGCTCCTAGACCAGGGAAAGATTGATGACAAGGACCTTCCTCCAGAGCTGGCAGAGAAAGAAAGCCTTCCCCTGGAGCTGGCACCCTGAATTCAGACTTCTAGTCTCCTAAACAGTGAGAGAACAAGCTCTGTTTGATAAAGCCATCCACTTGTGGTATTTCTGTTATAGCAGCAACTAGATAACTAAGACAGAATTTGGTACCAGGAGAGTGGGGTGCTGTGCTAACAGATACCTGAGATGTGGAAGTGGTTTTAAAACTGTGAATGGGTAGAGGTTGGAAGAGTTTTAAGGTGCCTAACAGTAAATACCTAGATTGCCCTTAACAGACTGTTAGTGGAATTATGGACATCAAAGGCAATTCTAGCCAGGGCTCAGAAGGAAGTGACGAGAGCTGTAACACTGGAGATGGCGCAGACGGCGAGAAGCAACAGCACAGAAGTGACGGCAGCAGAACCAGGAGACTGGCAGTAATGGAGAAATAGAGAAACAAACAAAAAAAAAAATAAGACCTACAGAAAAGAAGTAACAAAATGGCATACATAAATCCTATCTTATCAGTAATTACATTAAATACAAATCAAAAGACAGAGATTGGCAGAATAATCCATCTATATGCTGACCACAAGAGACACCATTTAGATTCAAGGACAGAAATAAGCTGCAAATAAAGGATGGAAAAAAATGTATCACGCAACCAGTAACCAAAAAAGAGTTGTAGTGGCCACACTAATATCAAAAAACTAGTCTTAAAGAGAAAAATTGTTACTAGAGACAAAGAAGACATTTATAATGATAAAAGGATCAATTCATCAAGAAGATATAACATTTATAAACACATATGAACCTAACAGCAGAACCCCAAAATACATTAATCAAAAGCTAACAGAATTGAATGGAAAAATAAACTGTTTAATAATATTAGTTGGAGACATCAATAGCCCACTTTCAATAATGGATAGAACAACTAGGCAGAAGATCAACAAGGAAATAGAAGATTTGAACAATTCTGTAAACCAAATATATGCATGTGAAAGCTGGACAATGAATAAAGAAGACTGAAGCAGAATCGACACTTTTGAATTATGGTGCTGGTGAAGAATATTGAGTATAACATGGACTGCCAAAAGAACGAACAAATCTGTCTTGGAAGAAGTACAGTGAGAATGCTCCTTAGAAGAAAAAATGGTGAGACTACATCTCACATACTTTGGACACGTTATCGGAAGGGATCAACCCCTGGAGAAGGACATCCGGCTTGGTAAAGCAGAGGGTCAGTGAAAAAGAGGAAGACCCTCAATGAGATGGACTGACACAGTGGTTGCAACAATAGGCTCAGGCATAACAACGATTGTGAGGATGGCGTAGGACCGGGCAGTGCTTCGTTCTGTTGTACATGGGGTCGCTATGAGTCGGAACCAACTTGACGGCACCTAACAACAACAACAACGTAAACAAAATAGACCTAACAGATATGTATAGAACACTCCACCCAATATCAGTAGAATACACATTTTTCTTAAGTGCATATAAATGAGATCATCAACAAGTCAATAAATTTAAATGGACCAAAATCATACAAAACATGTTCTCTGACCACAATGGAATGAAATTAGAAATCAATAACAAAAGGAATTTAAGAAATTCACAAATATCTGAAAAATAGACAGTATACTTCTAAATAATCAATGGTTCAAAGAAGAAAGCCACAGGGAAATTAGAAAATACATTGAAATGAATGAAAACAGGAATACTACATACCACAAGTTATGGGATGCAGCTAAAGCAGCATTAGAGGAAATTTTTGGCTGAAATGCCTAAATTAAAAAAGAAAAATGATCTCTAATCAGTAGCCTAACATTCCACCTTAAGAAACTAGCAAAAGAAAAGCAAACCAAACCCAAAGAAGCCAAGGAAAAAAATGATAAGAGATTGGAGTGGAAATTAATGAAACAGAGACTAGAAAAACAATAGAGAAAATCAATGAAATAAAAAGTTAGTTATTTGAAAGGCTCTACAAAATTGCCAAACCTTATCTAGACTTAACAAAAAAAAAAAAAGACTCAAATTACTAACATTAGGAATGAAAGATTACTACTGACCTTACAGAAATAAAAAAGATTGTAAGAGAACACTATAAACAATTGTATGCCAATAAATTAGATAACCTAGATGAAAAGGACAAACTCCTAGAAAGATACAAACTATTGAAACTGACTTAAGGAGAAATAGAAAATCTTAATAGACCTATAATAAGTCAGGAGATTGAATTTGTAACTAAAAAAAATAATTCCCCCAAAGAAAAAACTATACTACTTCACTGGTGAATTCTATCAAATGTTTAAAGAAGAATTAATACCAATCCTTCACAAATGCTTTAAAAAAATACAGGATAGAAAAACTTTCCAAATCATTCTATGAGACCGGTATTATCCTGATACCAACACCACAGACATCACTAGAGAAGAAATATCTCTTATGAATATAGATGCAAAAATCCTCAATGAAACAACAGTGTGTGTGTGTGTGTGTCTATATATATACATATATAGGGACTATGTATATATATAGTCACAATTTATTTTTTTATTGTGGTAAAATAAATATAACAAAACATTTGCCATTTTTTACATGTACCAGTAACACACACAATTTATTTCTAATAGAAATATACCACAAATATTATATGTCAACTTAGATTTTTTTTCAATTTGTAGTATAGTTTGTACTTTTTCCCATGTCAGTACATATGGCTGTATAATTCCTTTTTAATAGCTAGTCCAAATAATTGTCAACAATCTAATAAAACCAAATCTTAACCTTTTCTCCCAGAAATTAATTTCATTTACATGATTTTAATAATTCAAGATTAATCTGACAATTAACATACTTACAGGATGCTTGAGTGTGCAGAGCTCATATAAGACACAGCCAAGAGACCATATATCCCTGGTGATAAGTGATGAAAAGCCAAGAATATCTGTAATTCTTAATAAATTTTTTATCCTCAGAGTGCATTACATTTGTGTAGCTTTACAGTTTTACATAGGTTGATCAGTTTTAACAAATGCTCTGAGATACATTATCAATTCTTATTACTAAGATAAGAGTTAAAATAAAAACAATTTGTAGTTTGTCAGAACCCTAGCAGAGAAAATGTATACAAACTTTGCTACAATCTTATAGCTCAGTATTTACTTCAACTTAATGTTCTCAAAGAAAATGTGTGTATGTACAGAATTTTGAACCATTTGGAGGAGGCAGACAGAACTCAAAGAAGGATTTGTTTCGATTCAAGATGGAAACTGTGGTTGGTCTAGAAAGGTATATTCTACTCTAAGCTCTTGCAGAGCCCAAGTTATAGTAAGTGATAAATATGTTTGACATTCAATAAACATTTGAAAAATGTACTTACAATATATGACTCAAGCCTTGCTCTTTACAGACTTGGTATTTAGAAGTATTTATATGCAATTAGTTTTATAAGGAGTTATTTTATAGAACAAAAAGCATAGTTAAATCTAAAAGACCAAAGAAAATATAAGGAAAGTCAAAGAGGCGGGGAAAGGGGTAAAACGAGAATGATTCAGTAAAGTGAAGCGAATGGTTCCACCAGTTCTCAACACTTCCGTGCACGTGAGAGAAAGAAAGAGAGAAGAAACTCACTTATACTAAAGGTTTGGAGACAATGGAGGGTGATTACAGAACAGGCAGGGAACAACTTCCATCTGAACATCACACGTTCTTTTCCTACCACACAGAATGTTTGCTCTGCTCTGTCTTCCATGGGCCTCAAATTCCTCTCTAACTGGGGTGGTGTATTCATAGGCTTACAGGGTCCCGCCAGTGACTGGGACTGGGTCCAAACATTTGCATACCTTATATCCTTCTGTGGAGTTGTTAAAAAACAAAATAACCAAACCCATTGAGGTCAGGTAGATTCGAACTCATAGCGACCCTATAGGGCAGAGTAGAACTGCCCTGTAGGGTTTCCAAGGAGTGGCTGGTGGATTCGAGCTGCTGACCTTTTGGTTAGAGCTAAGCTCTTTAACTACTGTGCCATCAGGGAGCATTGGGTGGTGCAAATGATTAACGCGCGACTGCTAACTGAAAGGTTGGAGGTTCAAGTCCACCCAGAGGAGCCTTGGAAGAAAGGGCTGGTGAACTAATTCTGAAAAATCAGCCCTTGAAAACCCTATGGAGCACAGTTCTACTCTGACCCACATGGGGTCACCGTGAGTCAGAGTCAGCTTGCTAGCAACTAGTTTATACCACCCAGTGAGTGGTGAGGTGAACTAGAAAATGGTTTCCTGATGTAAATGGGGCAGTTGCCCAGCTGACTATTGCCAAGATCTTCCAATTTTCAGAGGCACCAAATCTGTATGTTTTTTAAATCTTCCAATATTTAAACATTGATTCCAATTTGTAAAAAGCACTATCAGTAAACAAAACGATGCTGTTTATATCTCATGTATCTTTAAATGAAGAGAAATGGGTTTTTTCTAAAGTCAACAGCATCAGGGCACACTGAGTGGTCAGAGACAGTCACTGTGATTCCCACTTCACACGTGAAAGAAAATGAAATTACAAAAGTACCATAAGAGAAGGGATAAGAACTTTAGTTTCTAGAACCTTAATTCAATATCATCCATCAGATTTTCCTGGCACTTTCAAACCAATAGTCAGTAACTCATGTTTTATTTTTGTAGGGTTTATTCTGACAGATCTCTGGGGATAGATAATAAAGCGTTCCAACACAAGTTCGAGCAAGTTCCATGGAACTAGTAAAATATATTAAATAATAAAATAACATGGTTTCTTACTGGAGTAATAAACATGCTGAAGATATGGAAATGTAAGGAAAAATGTAAAAAATAGATAACAAAATGTGATGCATGCACAGATTAAAATAAAGCAAAAATATTGGACACTGATAACAGAGTAACACATTAGTTGATGTTTTTAAGCTTAGAATTCATTCCCCAAAAATCCACACATTAAAAAATATATATTTTTATGACTTAAAGACCCTACAAAGAGGTACAATTGTAATGTTAACAAAAAAACTCTCAGAGGTAGAAAGATGTCCCCCTTTCAAACTGTCAAAGTAATGCAATCTTATTATTTAAAATTTGCAAAATACAAAAGTGAGTAATGAGAAAACAAAAAAATTATCTACAATTTTAAACAACTATTGTTAAAATTCTGATTTATTTCCTTCCTGTGTTTTTTTCTATGCATATTTTTCACATAGCTGTGATCATACTGCATTTAAAATTCAGAATTCCAAACTTTTTAATTAAACATATCATGAAGCATTTTCTCACACTGTCAAGAAATGTTTAAAATCATAAATGTTTGTAACTGCATAATACTCAGGTACATGGCTGTTTCAAAATTTATATATAACCATTTCCCAACTGTTAGATATTCATGTAATTCTAAATTTGAAATTATTCCCTTAGAACAAATTCTGAGAAGCAGAACATTCAACAATCTCTTGATATATATCACCACCAAATAGTCTGCCAGAACAGCTGCACCAATTTATTCTCACCAGAATGTCTGAACTTGCCCATTTCACTGAATTCTCCCAGCTTTCTGCATATTAGTCACATCACACATTTGAATAAACTTACAGTACACACTATACAACGTTGCCACCATCATTCCATGCCACAATTTATCTTGGGAATTTTAATCTCAAAATACCATCTGAATGATTTAATGAATTTATATAAATAGTTGGAGTCGCTTGTAGCTCAAACAGTTAATGCACTTTGCTGCTAACTGAAGGGTCAAAGGTTCAACGCCAATCAGAGACACCTCGAAAGAAAGGCCTGGTGATATACTTCCAAAAATCAGTTATTGAAAACCCTGTGGTGCACAGTTCTACTCTCCCACACACATGGGGTCATCATGAGTCGGAATTGACTCAACGGCAGCTGGAATATAAATAGTTTCCAAAAATTATTTGGACAACCACATTTTTAGTATCTTAATTCAAAGTAGGAAGGAATAGGAAGAAAAATGATTTTTAAAAGTACTCACTTGTTCAGGACTCTTGCTATGCCGAAGTCCCCAAGCTTTGCAACCATTCCATTCTTGCTAAGAAAAATGTACTATAAATTGAAAAAATGCTATGCTATTTGAGATATTTCAAGAAAACAAAAGATCAGTTTTTTCTTGGTCTTCTATCTGAGCTGTTACCTGTGCTTTTATGTCCCTGTGTAAGATCTTCCTGTCATGAAGATGTTTTAGTCCTAGAGAAATCTGTACAAACCAACCCAGAATCTGTAGAGGGAAAACAAAATAAAACTATTCAGGCAGTCTGGTACTTGCAATTTCTGTGAGACTTCTTCATGATAACATGCAAAAGGTGAGAAATAATTCATGTGTGTGTGTTTATGTTAATGGAGCTAATAGAGATACCACCTTATCATATTATGTTCCTTTTACAGCTGGAAAAACTGAGGTACAGAAAAGCAATCTTTGTAATCGAAGGGAATGCCACATACAGAAAAAGGTAAATAGAAGCAAAGGCGAGAGAGAAGAAGTTCTTGAAAAACTCAGCAGAGGTTACTGCTATTGTAAAAAAGACCTCTAATTTTATAAAAGTATCCTGACTTCAAATACCAATCTTCCATTGTACAAAGAACCTTGAAATGAACCTTCAAAATATTATGCTGAGTGAAATAAGTCACTTACAAAAGAACAAATATTGCAAAATCCCACTCATATGAAATATCTAGAATAGGCAAGTGTCTTAGTTATCTAGTGTTGCTATAACAGAAATACCACAAGCGGATGGCTTTAACAAAGAGAAATTTATTCTCTTACAGTCTAGTAGGTTACAAGTCCAAATTCAGGGTGTCAGTTCCAGGGGAAGGCTTTCTTTCTGTATTGGCTCTAAAGGAAGGTCCTTGTCATCAATCTTCCCCTGGTCGAGGAGCTTCTCAGGTGCAGAGATCCCAGGTCCAAAGGATGCACTCTGCTCCCGGAGCTGCTTTCTTGGTGGTATGAGGTCCCCATGTCTCTCTGCTCACTTCTCTCTTTTATATCTCAAACGAGATTGGTTTAAGACACTAATCTTGTAGATCTCATCAATATAACTGCCACTAATCCATCTCATTAACATCATAGTGATAGGATTTACAACACATAGGGAAATCATATCAGATGACAAAATGGTAGACAATCATACAATATGGGAAATCATGACCTAGCCAAGTTGACAGATATTTTTGGGGGACACAATTCAATCCACGACAGCAAGTGCACAGAGACCTAAGTTTATTGGTGGTTACCAGGGGTGGGGAGGAGGGAGGAGAGGTGAAGGAGGACTCATTGCTTAGGGGGCACTGAGCTCCTGTTAAGGGTGATGAAAAAAACTTGGAAACAGAGAGTGGTGATGGTTGCACAACATGATGAACATAATTAATGTCACTGAATTGCACATGTGAAGACTGCTGAAATGGCAAATGTCTTGGTATATGCTGTATATATCTACAACAATTTTTTTTAAAAAGGCATGTTCCAGTCTATTAAAGTGGCCCAGTCCATCCAACATGCAAGCCACCACAGTATGACAAACTGACAGATGCATTGCTGTGATGTTGGAAGCTATGCCACCGGTATTTCAAATACCAGCAGGGTCACTCGTGGTGGACAGGCTTCAGCAGAGCTTCCAGACTAAGACAGACTAGGAAGAAGGAACTGGGGGTCTACTTCTGAAAAAACTGGGCAGCAAAAACCTTATGAATAGCAGTGGAAGACTGTCTGGTATAGTGCTGGAAGATGAGCCCTTTAGGTTGGAAGGCACTCAAAACACTACTGAGGAAGTGAGGAAGAACTGCCTCCTCAAAGTAGAGTCAAGCTTTCATTTGCTGAGGTGGCATGACTCAAAAATGAGAAGAAATATCTGCTAACACCCATTAATAATCGGAATGTGGAATGTACAAAGTATGACTCTAGGAAAATTGGAAGTCATCAAAAATGAAATGGAATGCATAACAACTGGTATCCCAGGCATTAGTGAGCTGAAATGGACTGGTATGGGCCATTTAGAATCGGACAATCATATGATCTACTATGACAAGTTGAAGAGGAAAGGTGTTGCATTCATCATCTAAAAGAACACTTCAAGATCTACCCTGAAGAACAATGCTGTCAGAGATAGGATATTATTCATACACCTACAACCAATTAATATGACTATTCAAATTTATGTACCAACCACTAATGCCAAAGATGAGCAAATTGAAGATTTTTACCAAATTTTGCAGTCTGAAAATGATCAAACATGCAATCAAGATGCATTGATAAATATTGGTGATTGGAATGTGAAACTTGGAAACAAAAACGAAGGACCAGTAGCTGGAAAATATGGCCTTGGTGATAGAAACAACACCAGAGATTGCATAATCGAATTTTGCGAGACCAAAAGCTTATTCACTGCAAATACCTTTTTTCAACAACATAAATGGCAGCTATACACATGGAACTCGCCAGATGGAATACACAGGAATCAAATCGACTACATCTGTGGAAAGAGATGATGGAAAAGCTCAATATCATCAGTCACAACAAGGCCAGGGACAGACTGTTCCAACTGCAGAACAGACCATCAATAGCTCATATGCAAGTTCAAGTTGAAGATGAAGAAAATTGGAGCAAGTTCAAGAGAGCCAAAATACGACTGTCTTAGGCTGGGTTCTCTAGAGTAGCAAAACCAGTAAAGCGTATAAATATATATAGAGAGATTTACATCAAAGAAACAGCTCACGCAACTGTAGAGGCTGGAACGTCCCAAGTCCGTGGATTAGGATAGAGGGTTCTCCCGATTCACACAGCCAAAGGGGCTGATGAACTCAAGATTAGCAGGCTGGAAAGCAGGACTCCGCTCACGGGCTGTGAAGATCGATGAATCCCGGAATTGGCAGATAAGCTGATAGCTCAAGTTCCAAGAACCGGAGGTCAGATGAACAAGAGGCAGCCACAGGTCCCAGAGTGAGCAAAAAGCCAGAACGTCTGCTTATATTCGGATGCAGGCCACACCCCCAAGGAAATTCCCTTTCAACTGACTGGCTCCTCACAGCATACTCGATCATAGGAGTGATCACATAGAAACACTGAGAATCATGGCCCAGCCAAGTTGACACACCATCTTAACCATCACAGTCCACCCCTTGTCAACTTGGCACATGTACACAACTCCTCAAATCATACACAATCTCTAAATAAAGACAATTACAAAGTCATACTCGTGCCTAACATGATACAACTAACACGTGTACAATCAAAAACGCACTAGCCCCGTTTACGTCTTATATTTTATAAGTGAAGGAAACAAAAATATCTGGTGCACAGATACAAAGCAGAAATACTCATAACAATCACAGTCCTCATTTCTGCAACTGGTCATGTGACTGTAACTGGTACTTAGAACTACCTTCTTCCACCACCCATTCCGCATTCCCTTTGCCCTCAGCAAGCACCTCAGCTGATCGTGGTTCTTTACCTGGTGGGGTGACCTAAACCTTCATTCCTGAAGGGTCTAGGTCATTAGCAGTTGCTATAGTTTTCCATTGACTTTAATCACAGGGCATGGTAGTACTAAGAGACACCCTAAGGGATCTCCTGCATTCCAGACATACTCTTCTTTACCTCCATTATGTAACATCAATCCGATTTCCTCTTGGTAATCAGGATCAATCACACCAGCCAGTATGGTAACTCCCTTCTTTGCCTGTTGATCCAGAGGCATAAGGAGCCCAAAATGGTCAGGTGGCATTCTTAACTTCCAGTTCAATGGAATCAGTGATGTATCTCCAGGTGGCAGCATTCCTTCCTTTGGAACTAAGACCTCTAGGCCTGCAGAGCACAAGGTCGAGTGGACAGGAAGCAAAAATCTTGCAAGAGGGTCACTAAGGGTAATAGTGAGTGGGACCACTCCCATTTCTACCCCTTGGTTCCTGGATCCATGAATCCTGGCTATGGGAGAAACAGCACCATATATTCGATGCTGGTTTAGAGCATATACAGCCTCCTGGAGAACACTGCCCCAACCCTGCAAGGTATTGCCACCTAGCTGGCACCATAATTATGTCTTCAGAAGGCCATTCCATTGATCAAGCCAGCTGCTTCAGGATGATGGGGAACATGGTAAGACCAGTGAATTCCATGAGCAGGGGCCCACTGATGCACTTCATTTGCTGTGAAGTTAGTCCCTTGATCCGAGGCAACACTGTCTGGGATACCATGACGGTGGATAAGGCATTCGTTAAGTCCATTGATGGTAGTTTTGGCAGAAGCATTGTGTGCAGGGAAGGCAAATCCATATCCAGAGTAAGTGTCTATTCCAGTAAGGACAAAACACTGCCCTTTCCATGATGGAAGTGGTCCAATGTAATCAACTTGCCACCGGGTTGCTGGCTGATCACCTCGAGGGATGTTGACATATCAGGGACTCAGTGTTGGTCTCTGCTGCTGGCAGATTGGGCACTTGGCAGTGACTGTAGCCAAGTCAGCCTTGGTGAGTGGAAGTCCATGTTGCTGGGCCTGTGTATAACCTCCATCCCTGCCACCATGGCCACTTTGTTCATGAGCCCATTGAGCAATGACGGGAGTAGCTAGGGAAAGAGGATGACTGGTTTCCAGAGAATGCATCATCCTATTCATTCAATGGTTAAAATCATCCTCTGCTGAGGTCACCCTTGGTGAGCATTCACATGAGACACAAATATATTCACTTCTTTGGCCCATTCAGAGAGGTCTATCCACATACCTCTTCCCCATAAATCCCTGTCTCCAATTTTCCAATCATGTTCCTTCCAAGTCCCTGACCATCCAGCTAAACCATTGGCCACATCCCATAAATCAGTATATAATTGCACACCTGGCCATTTCTCCTTCCAAGCAAAGTGAACAACCAGGTGCACTGCTCAAAGTTCTGCCCACTGAGAGGATTTCCGTTGACCACTGTTCTTCACGGAGGTCCCAGAAAGGGGCTGTAGTGCTGCTGCTGTCCACTTTCGAGTGGTGCCTGCATATGGCGCAAGCATGAGTTTTCTCTTCTTAAGTCAACTGATCATAAGGAACTCCCCATGAGGCCATAGGTGCAGATTGGGAGATGGAAGGAAATGTGACAAGAGTGGAGACCATGGGCATTTGGGACACTTCTTCACACAACTTGTGCCTTCAGATCCTGCTTGGGCCTGATCTCGTATATACAACTTCCATTAAATGATGGAGTGCTGCTGTGCACGTCCAACCTTATGACTCTGTGGGTCAGA